AAAATCTTCGGTGAAATACTTTGACGCTTTTTCCTTCTTATCTTAGTAGACCAAATCGCGCAAAATTTGGATATGTTTAACTAGAGCATATTTCACCTTACCGAACGCTATTTGACTGCAAAGCTGCAATATCCACAGATAGAGCAAGGTGTTTGTTGCGGTAGCAGATTTTGCTAAAATTAAAGTTGTTGACGTCTGCACTTATTCGCACCTTATGTGCGTTTTTCTCATCTATTGTGTTCGGCATTGCCGCTCGTACACTTTAGACATGACAAAAAGGAAAGAGATTCTAAAAGGACCATCATCTGTATTTTCAGTCAATTTTGATTTCATGCTCTTTGGAACATCTGGAACATGATCAGATTGCAGGTTAATAGTGGTAAATATTCACAATACACCCACGCTCTAAATATAGAAATTTCCCAAGATTAGATCAAGTAGGAAAGGAGTTACGACTGAAAACTACGGCTGAAGGGCCATTTCATTGAAGACTTTTGAGCGCTACTGTAGCTTTGGTGGGTGTTTGATTTTCGCTTCTCTCATGTGCCTCCAGTAATGAGCGAGTGTAAAGCAGTTGCAGAAAAGCAACAGAGATCTTGTACTGAGAATGATTTTCCGAAAAGAAGGGGGCCTAAAATGTGAAGCGACCCACCCCTCAGGTGATTCATCACATAAGCACATTAGCAGTCATCAACATAAAAAGAAAAAAGAGAAAAATTCGGGTCTATCGCTGTTTTTCGCAACGGAGCGTGCATATAGCTGGAGTAACAAGTGGGCAGACATATTTTTTTCAACTCACAATCAGTCGGATCTCCCTTCGTAAGACTTGCCTGCCTCAAAAACGACTTTGCTCGATGGCGCTCGGTGGAAAAAATCGTCTTCAGTAGGATAAATATACCATAAACTGATAGATGTCTCCAGTGCAAGCCTCCTCGAGAAAGGATGGGTTTATCCATCCGTTATGCTCTCAGCTCAGAATGGACTCAATCGCTCAGTTCAAAAATGAAAACGACGAAGACCTGTATCGTAGACTATGGGTAATAAATAACTGGAAAAATAAATATCGCAACTGAAGAATAGTAAATAACATAAAGTCGTGAAGGATAACAACGTTCACCGTTAATCAGTCTCTTTCTGGAGTGCGCCCCGCATCCAACTCCAATTCGTAAATACATTGATTTGCGCTGGCCGGGCGATGTACAAAGCAGTGCTTCATTTTTCTAGAAAGGTTTGGTACCAACAAACCAGTCCAAGAGAGATGTATGGCACGGTAGGCCTACGCGAGTATTGGTCCGGGATCTAGGCTCTGGCCCATCGTGTGCGATAATGCACCACTTGCCACTACACCCAATAAATGATGAAGTAAGGGAAAATCGAAAAAAATTACTAAGAAAAATCAGAAAAATTAATCGACCGCTCCTTTGCCTTTCGAGCACAGGTCATCCTGTAAGGATGACACAAGTCTCCGTGCCAGCGCCCACCTCTTGGTTTCTGATGTGAAAGCTCAACTTGATGGTAGAATAGGTGTCTTGGTGAAAGCCCTAATAGGACATGATTTTAAAGAAGGCTAATAAGGTATTAAAGCTAAGTAAGTCGGTCATGTGTCGAACGGTTTAATGGCAGAATTCAATAGAAGTGACTACGAGGAAACAGTAGGTGGACGTATGGCGAGCGTTTAGTCAGCTCTGCGGCTGATCAACATAGTCATTGACGTACTGAGACGGAGGGTCCTTTGAGCAGTGACGAAATGAGGACCTGGGAAAAAACCCGAACGACGTGTTCGATAAAAACGACCTGCAACGAGGACGAACACATTGTGACCAGATCGGACTAACTTCGCCCTCCCATTCCTTTTTATTCATTACTTTGTCGATCGAGATCCGCGACGAACATCCAGTTAATGAATAAAAAAAAACGGAGCCTCCTCATCGCAGCCACGGATTACTTCATACAGTAATCGCAGGTATTGTGATAGAGGAGATACTGCTCGCTACAAAAAGCCCGTCGGACATACGACAGTTTGAGGAAGAATAATGAGACGATCCAATTCTTCGTAAAGGTATGATACATTCCGGTGAGCGGTCGGGTAGCTGTGTCGCAAGGTCCGTGGACATCTTAGGTTGGTAATTAATGATAAAGATTCGTGTTCCAAGATTAGCTGCTTTCTTATGATGAAATAAAAAAATTGATTTTGTTTACTCATAAAAAAATTTATTTTGTAATCACAATGTGGACCTCACATAAAGTTCGTATTGGAAGAGCTCAGTTTCTTCTTGGGGCGAATCCCATCACCCACTCTAAGGACCGGGAAAGGGCATTTAGTGGGTAAGGGCAAAGATTTTTCAGGTAGAATGCATAGAGATTATGGTACCATAACAAAAGGTAGAGGTATAGCCCTTTGGCGTTGATCCCATTTTGCAATGCGCCCCGCATTCGACTTCTATACAGGAACGTAGAAGCGTTCAAATGGGTTGGTAATAGGAGAAGGGGCAGATACAGAAGTCAATGCATGCCACCCTTTTGGATGAGTCTGGTACCATTCCTATGGAGGGGGAAAGGAAGAATTTTAGTCTCGTGAATGTGTGATACAGTGAACCAAAAACGCACTCAAGACCACACAAGCACCTCAGCCCTCACTCATACCACGCAACAAAAAGGTACCTTGGGAGAGGCCTAGGGGTTGGGTGGTGGGGTATGCGGGGGTTATTGTACCACACATTCATGGTACTCGACAATCTTTGTGGGGAGGGGTGGAAGGTTTTGCTGATGTAAGTGGATGTGCATATATCAGGACTCCTCCCAGATCCTGCGTGTGATAATGCGCCCGTTGGAATTACAATACCCATAGGAAGCGCTGGTAAAAGCGATTCAAAACCCTTCATCTTTTCAAGTTAGTCATACCCACAAATTTCTCATTCGCAGCGTCTGAAGTTGAGCTGTGCGCATCTTGGCGCTTTTCAAGAATGAACCCTTTATACCGCTTCCCCTATCCCTGTCCTCCCCACCTTCCCCCTCGCTATCGACGACTGCTCAGTGGTCTGATTGGGGTGTGGTGCGTCAGGAACGAAATGGTCGCGTCGCGGTGAGAGGGGCGTCGCGCGCGAAGGAATGTAGCGGGATGCGGCAGTAGGTAAGAAATACGAGAACAAAAGTACTAATAGTAGTATTATGCATAAAATAATGATCGCTTATCGATTGAGCTGTATGAAGAACGCTAGAGCTGTAACAACGGCGAATGAGTGTTCCGCGACAGCCGCGTGCGGCAAATCGATTACCCAAAATCGTTCCTAACGCCCGTCTCCCGTCTGATTGTGAGGTCCATCGGATTGAATAGGGGCGATGGGGCACCACGGCCTCACCTTCTAGAAGATGCGAAGATACCCTACCAAAAGCGAGAAACAAACTAGATAAAAAAAGAGTTGCTAAGAATAGCCGCTACTGACGAGAAGACAATACAGTAATCCTCAAAGTCAACTCAAATTGTTCGGACAAACCTTCTCGTCTGTCTCGTCCACTAGTCCAGTAGCCATATTGAAACGATACTCATCTAGAACAACCGAGTTACGCGACTTCTTCGATGCCAAATGACTAATGCTCTGGTTTGCTTTCTGATATTTGCTAGTCTCAGTCTCACACAGCAATCATAACCTTATTGAACGACATTAAAATAGGAGAAGTATGGAAAAGCAAGTTTGAGACTTGAAAATGAAATTTGAAGCTATTTCGCACCATCACGAAGAATGTAAGTCTAAATTGTCGTGCAAAATAGCATTCTAGGACTCTGAGAATCTCACACAGCAATGGTAATGGTTCTTCAGTAAAGAATTTGAGGAAAATTATTTTCGAAAAGAATCAGGGCATCAGACCGAGGGCAAATAAGCAACCTTGCTCCAATTGAAATTCTGCGCTCCAAAATTTTTGTGCGCGAAATTGCGTTTTAAAGCTATTTTTTACTGCTTCTTCTGTTCGTGGTATTTCTGCCTGGGTTCTGAGCTTCTCCAGCAATGGCGACAAAGAAGCAGAGCTCATTATTCTCATTCTTCACTCCCAAGTCGGGTTCTACGCCCACATCGTCAACTCCCAAATCGCCTGCAGTGACGAGGTCGTTGAAGAAAGAAAGAATCGAGGACGATGTAACTGATGAAGGTAGTTCATTCTGCGTTCATTTGAATCTGGAATTGGTTTTTGAATTCTTCAATAGTTAGTTCATTTTCACTGCTGGCTGTTGGGAACGCCGTTAAATCTCTCCATCGGCCCTACGTTTCATTCGCTTTAATGGGAACTCACTGCTTAGTCCTTTATGGTTTTCTTTCGCTCCAGTCCACGAAGTTCTTATCAGCAGTTCGCTGACAATATGACACTTAGGGTACCTTTTTTGAGATTCTTTAATTTGAACTTAGTTCTTAGCTCAACAAATCGTCGAAGGACAAGCAAAAACTGAAGGATGAAGAGTCTCAAAAGGCAAAACAAAAATAAACAGTGTAGTTGTAGGCTGAGTTCTATCCAGTGCGTAACATTACAATTTCACGCGGCACGTATGGTCAGGGGATCGAATCTCAACATTTACTCAGACAAACTAGGCCTTCTATCCCTTCGGGGTCGGTATTTGGTAGAGACTCGTCTGGGAGGATAAAAGGCCCAACTTGTTAAGGGCTAGCCGCTGCAGCTCATTGTTTAAGTTCACTCACATTCGATATGCCACTACGATTCTAAATAGAAGTCGAAAGGGAAGGCGCGCCTCAAAAACGGGATGGATAAACACCAAAGATCTTATCATTCGTAATTTTCAATCCTTGAATCGCTTCGAAAATGAAAGGCGGTGGCTTAGAACTACTACAGTTTTTGATTGGTTTTGGATCCATTTACAAGCGTTTCATCCTTAGCTGACGAAAACTTCACCCAGTATCCGAAAATGTTCTCAACCATTTTGTAGAGCACTGTTGATTCATGAATTTCTTTTTGTGGGTCATGAGTACAGCCAATAAGATGACTTTTCTACAGAATTGAGGACTCTGAAGCGTGTCAACAATGATCATGAAGGATCTCCCATTGCCAGAGTAAGAAGCTCTGTGAAACGGCGTAGGATAATCGTATCGTCAGATGAGGAAGATGACGGCGAGAACGTCCTATCAGTAAGAACTCCGCCTTCATCATTTAAGGTTGCCTTCATAGATGCTTGAGTAATGGCAGAGAATAATGTTTTGCTTGAGCTGCATGCTTGTAGGATGAGCCCTCGACACCATCATCGACAATAGCTGAAATTTCCACGCCGAAAACTACGAGAGGGCTTCGTCCGCTTAAACCATGTACAACTCCTTTATCAACTGCAGCTGCTGAATCCTTCATTGATTCATTCTGTGTTGGAGAAGATGACCTGGTAATTTTGTCCAAGATTTTTGAGAGCTCCTACGTATAGTTTTTATGCAATAGCTATTAACAAACATTGCGAGCGTCTGCATGAGAGGAGCATTTCTAGAAATTCTTGTGTTTTGCAAAACAGACTGATCTTGCAGAAGCGCGATAAACTAAATATCAGAGAGTAACTTCAAGGTGTAAAGATGGGTCGTTGAGTTCTGAGTGGTAAACTAACTAGATTGTTTTATATTTCTTTCAAGGACTAAAACACCTTCCCACATCAGCTCTGAATATTTATATAATGTGCCCCTATTTTATTACAAGCGTATCTGCGTGTACTCTCTTTAGGAAGTGAGATTCTCGTCTTCGAATGGTCTCGTTTTTATTTCTTTTTAGAATGTATCCAGTGCATCAGTCGACACCCTGGATCGTACTATGTACCAAGTAGACATGAATGAGCGCAAACCACGAAATGAGGAGTTGTCTGGGGACGACAATGGAAAATTCGTCCATGAGACTCTTGCCTTTTTGAAGGTGACCCCTTACCAATGCTTCAGAAATTGCTCATAGTTTTAGAGTCATTTTAATATTTTTCTTTCCTTGCTCGAATTTCGAACATAACTTGCAAAACTTTGAGCCTCTACCTTCATGCTTTGTTCTTACTGAAGCGTTGGCTTTCAGCCAGAGAAAATTCGCGATGCGCAAGGGCATCGCCCAGATGACGATGATTATGATCCGTCGACACTCCTTGTTCCTAGCCAGTTCTTGAAAGAGCAGACAGGAGGTGCTTCTATTAATCTATCTGGAAGAACCTATTCACTAATTGTCCCATTAATTTAGCTCATGTACAGTGGTGGAACTTCAAGAGCAAAAACTTTGACACTCTGTTGTTTTTCAAGGTTGGAAAGTTTTATGAGACTTTCCACATGGACGCTGTTATTGCCGTAGAATGCTTAGGACTTACCTTCATGCGGGTGAATAGTTATGTTCATTTAAATTTATTACGTTCTTATCAGACTGAAATATCGACAATTACAGGGAAATTATGCCCATGCAGGTTTTCCTGAGGCTGCGTATGGAAAATTTGCTGATCAGTTGGTATCACGTGGATACAAAGTTGCTCGTGTAGAACAAACCGAAACACCTCAGCAGCTAGAAGAGCGGAATAAACAATCACGTGGGGCGAAAGAGAAGGTCGTTCGTCGGTGTGTCTAAAAGTTTTACCTTACTCGATTTTATTTTATACAGTGTTTTGGTAAGAAAGTGTACATTCCGATAGAGAGAGAGGGAAATAGAGAAGTGGTCTTCTTCATCTCATCCTTTTCAACTCCAGCTTCTTATGTTTTAAAAAAGAACCTGATCCAGCGGACAAAATTGTGGTCTGTCTTGAACTGCAGGCTTCTAGCTGTAGAGCCTTTTTACAAAAAATTTGCAATGGGTTCTGCGTATTTGAGATGCTGTTGGATTTTCACTTTCTTGGAATCCGGTGGTCTTTTCATGCTCCCTTTTCTTTTCCTTTTCCCATGCTTTTTCTTTCTCCCAGAAAATTACCTTTTCGTTTTTCTTTCTCTCAGATTCATTTTTGAACACTAACGATCTTTGTTCTTGAAATTGAAATCAGAGATTCCATTTCTACTAGAGCTTATCCTTCAGAGAAATATGTCGGGTGACAACGAGCGGAACACGCACTTATGCAGTAATCGATGGTTGCAACTTGTACGGAGGAGAAACGGACAACGGGGAAACTCAATCCAAATATTTATTTAGCATAAAGGAAATGGTGATTTTTGATGTCGTTTTCTGCAATAGCATAGCAACACTTCTTCTCGGTCCACTAGGCATCGCGATTAACTGTAATACATTAGCAACCTTTTTCAGGTCTGTGACCAAGGCTCAACTTTCGGTATTTGTTTCGTCGACACTTCCGTTGGAAAGTTCTTCGTGGGAGAATTTTGTGACGATGATTATAATTCTTTCTTACGTACGGTTATCGCTAACTTTACACCAGTTCAGGTATGAAATATTTCGATTGTAATTGATTTGAAATTCGAAACGTCAGTAATGAGTATCTATGAATCATTTTTACTACAGGTTTTGTTTGAAAGAGGACGTTTATCGTCACAGTGCAAGACTATTCTGAACGGTGTTCTTGGTTCAGTGCAAAAAGAAGTACTGATCCCTAAAAAACAGTTCTATGACGCTGAGGAGACCTTGAAACTTGTCAGTTTACTTTTTTCTCGTTTGTTTGTTTGCATTTTTTGTTTCTGGATGACTTAATATGGAGAGAATTTTCAGCTATCTAACGATAAGTACCTTGGAGCTGATTTCTCGAAATGGCCTGAGACACTGCGAAAACTGCTTGACCCTGATTCCGTCATAGCGAGACCAAACGCCAATTCTCATCTGGCTCTCAGTGCACTAGGAGCTGTGTTGTTGTAAGTTTTGCCTATCATTGCAATTCTGTTGGGGTTCTTTTTAATTTTTTTCTCGCTTCAGTTATCTGCAACGGTGTTTGATAGACGTTGACATGGTGACAATGCATGACTTTTCTTTACTCGAGCCGTTGGAGCAGAGCCCAGTTCAAAAACCATCGCAAGGAAGCGTTTGGGCAAATCGACAAATGATACTGGATGGTATCACCCTGGAGAATCTCAATCTCGTACCGGGCGATAATCGCGATTCACAAGCTGCTTCACTATCGCTTTATAGTACTGTGAACAAGTGCCAGACTGCCTTTGGTGAGTCACTTTTCCCGTTTCAGGTCGACATGTGTATGAATTCCAGAATGACGACGCCTTTGAAAGGGTAACATCAATCTCGCACTGACGAGTCAACTTTTCAAAAGCGTCCCCATTCCCCATTTCAAAAGTTACACCTTGATTCCGTATTCGGTGTGATAAATTATTTCTGTAAGGTTCGTTAGACTGCAACGGAACCTTACAGAGATCATTTTTCATGCCGAAATGGGGACCCGGGTGTAACATCATATCTTGTTGCTATTGTCGTGATTGGTTTTGTGAAACTTTTTTTTGGGGTTCTGAAACACATTAAAATACTTAGTTGCATCAAGTAGAGGGGCTCTGGTGTATGAAATGTGCACAATCTCGTGCACCAAAGAAATATTTTGGTTTGCATCTTGTTTTGAGACATAAATTTACCAAGTGTTCCCGCACATTCAATGTATGTTTTCAAATTTATGTTAAGGGCAGTGTTTAGGGCTCAAACGCCGCAAACTTTAATGTTAAATTTGAGTCAAGCTTTCAGTGTTTGGCAGCAGAAGCTTTGAAAGACCATCACTTTGTATGCCGCTCAATATTCAGTAACTCCTTTCTAGGGAAGCGATTATTGCGGCAATGGATATGTTCTCCAACTTGTGATATGACTGTATTGAGAGATCGCCAAGACGCTATCGAGTATCTGATGGATTCTTGTAATGTTAGATTTGTAGAAAAAGCTGGAGAAATGCTCCGATCATTGCCTGATCTCGAAAGGCTTCTGCAGAAGTGAGTTTCTACTGCTTTTATTGATGAACTAAAGGTCCCTACTGTTTATTATGTCATATTACAAGTTTTCATTAATTCCATCTTTAGGATTCATACAATGGGTCTAAAATATCGTGCAGAATCACATCCAGATAGTCGGGCCGTCATGTTTGAAGCAAAAAACTACAGTAAACGAAAAATCAAAGATCTCTTGAACACGTTGGCTGGATTCAAAGTCTGCAATGATCTCATTAATCTTTATACAAGAATACGTCAGAATGGAAATGGGTTGGTCTTATTTTTGAGAACTAATACTGTTTAAATTTGAAATTGTGGCGTCAAGAATCAATACTCTTCAATTGATTTGAGAAGGGACGTGATATAAACTGTTTCAGACCACGATTATTAGACAGTTGTCTAGGATCTGATAAAGATGATCTCGGAGCTCATTTGGAACATTTTGAGGTATGCTTCCAAATAATGTTCTTTGGTGGCATTATCTTGAAATGCTAAAAAAANTCATTAATCTTTATACAAGAATACGTCAGAATGGAAATGGGTTGGTCTTACTTTTGAGAATTCATACTATTAATATTGTGGGGTCGTGCACGAATACCGTTCGAATTCTTTTGGGCAGGAGACATAATATGAGCCATTTTAGACCTCGATTATTAGACAGTTGCCTTGGATCTGATAAAGATGATCTCGGAGCTCATTTGGAACATTTTGAGGTATGCTTCCAAATAATGTTCTTTGGTGGCATTATCTTGAAATGCTAAAAAAATTTTCCAGAAGTTATTCAATCACAATGTTGCGGAAAAGGAGGGAATGATCGTACCGGAGAAGGGGCAAGATGAGGAATACGATGGTGCTTGTAAAGCTGTGAATGAAGCCATGGCCCAGTTGGAAGTCTATAGGAGGCAAACAGAGGAAAAACTTCATTGTAAAGTAGGTGTTTCAGAGTTGCTCTCGACTCCAAGTCACTATTTAAGGGGGTGGGGGAGTTCTGAGTTTTTGGCCTTTTTTTAATCAGTAGCTTTTACAGTCCATATCTTAGTTAGCCATCCACCGGTCTCTCCTGCTAAATTCATTTGACGTTGACTCTTGCAGATTACATTTTTCGGAAGTGGCAACAAGCGATTTCAAATGGAAATGCCAGAAAACGTCAGCGTTCCACGTTACTTTGAATTGAAGTCTCGTCGAAAGGTTGTTTACATCAATATCAGTAAGTAGGTTCTCTAGAAAGCAAAAGTAATTTAGGGGTTCAAACGGTATTCCACTGAAGAACTCGATCAACTTATTGAAGAGCTGGGAAGAGCCGAAGCCCGCAAAGAATTGCTACGAGAGGATGGAACGCGTCGAGTGTTCTCCGATTTCGACACGAGGTAAGTAGTCGTAAGTTTTTTCTCAATGACATTCTTTTTGCGTAGAGTGCCGAACAATCCATGACTCAGAGAAATCAGGGCGTTCGCAAGAGGCACAGCCAATATGTGCTCGGTTTACAGGGCAGATCATCAAAGTGAGTAAGGTCCTCATCTATTTATTCGTGATGAATTAAGGCAGAGTTCCCAGCAGCTTGAATCTCAAAACAGCAGGCCAGACATTGGTTCGCAAGGCAATGTTTTCAGCCGAAATCCCCATTCACATGCCTTTGTGGGTCAGTGGGCATTCTACCGAGAGGGTCCATGTTAGCGCTTCCCTCTTTTCATATGTGTTGCTGTACATTGTAGAGGAAAACTTGGTGAGACCGAATAGAAGTGCTTACAGAAGGAATGTATGGTCAGATGTGCTAAATCNAAAACAGCAGGCCAGACATTGGTTCGCAAGGCAATGTTTTCAGCCGAAATCCCCATTCACATGCCTTTGTGGGTCAGTGCATTCTACCAAGAGGGTCCATGTTAGCGCTACCGTCTCTTCATATGCGTTGCTGTACATTGTAGAGGAAAACTTGGTGAGACCGAATAGAAGTGCTTACAGAAGGAATGTATGGTCAGATGTGCTAAATCGCATTGCCCAAGTGGACGTTCTCTTGTCATTGGCTCGGTATTGTCAGACATGCGGCCTAGCCCTTTGCCGTCCTGAATTTGTTTGCGATTCTGACGAGGTTCGTAACACTTACCTGACCTCTCAATTCCCTATATAAGCTAATCATTTTTTGATTCTCAAACTACTTTATTTCAAGCCCGTGCTCTCCATTGAAGAAGGTTATCATCCTTGTCTGGCGATAAAACTACCCACAAATGATGCCACAAGCGCTTGCTCCTACATAGGTAAAGTCTACCGCCTACATTCAATCGGTATAAATTACTGTGTTGTCCATGTTTCCAGCAAATGATTCCCAACTTGGAGGTGGGCATCCACGAACTGTATTGCTCACAGGACCCAACATGGGTGGAAAATCCACGCTTATGAGACAGGTTGCTGTACTGACAGTGTTGGCCCATATGGTGTGTCATTTTCGTCTACAAATCTATTTTACGCTAATATTCAGCAATATTTTGTATTTCAAGGGTTCGTTCGTGCCAGCGAGGTCCATGAAACTGTCTCCAGTGGATCGAATTTTCACGAGAATCGGTGCAAATGATCGTTTGATTTGCGGTAAGAGTCTTTATGAGTTCTTTCATGGCTTTGCCGAAGTGTCTCCGGTTCAGGTCAGTCGACGTTTTTCGTTGAACTTCGAGAAACACTTGTAATTCTGCGAAACGCTACGAAACACTCTCTCGTTCTTATTGATGAGCTTGGAAGGGGAACAAGGTACGTTAACTAATGTTTTCTTTTTTACGACTTGTGTAACGCTTATTTTTAGCGGTTTAACAAACCATTTGTGAGTATTTTATATATTATTATTATATATATATTTTATTTCATTTTATTGTCTACGAGTTGATGTTCCGAGGTAAAGGAAGTTCTTTTCAAAGTCGCAGAACGGCCGCAGATGTCGTGCACTCAATGACTCACCGCGGTGGAAATCTTCTATCCGTCTCTTCTTTTTTAATTTTGGGTTGTTGGCTCTACACAATTTTCGAATGGAAAACTTTTGAGTGATATTAAGAGGTATATAGGGGCTATATGTAACAAATTAACAGATAAACACTGGAGGCGCTCACGGCGAGAAGGCATTAATGACCACTCCTCACCAAATGTGCGAATGTTGCCCTTGTTAGGACACCTTGAAGGCATGACCCCGAAGTAAATATTTCAAATCCCCCCCCCCCCGTGGCACGTTGGAAAGATAAATATGGGTTTCTGCTCGCTTCCTGTCTTCGATTCTACTTCACCACCTTCATTCCAGAAGCTGCCTATTCTGTGACCTGTCTTCTTGAATAGTTAATTGTACGCATCCCAAAACACCATTCCAAAAACCAGGTGTCAATTTTGAAAGTAGCAATTTTCCAGCACATTTGATGGCACAGCGATCGCTTCCGCGGTACTATCGGACGTCTCCCGCCGTCTGCAGTGTCGTTCATTCTTCTCAACGCATTATCATTCCCTTTGCAAAACTGCAGCGGTCAATCCGAACATCGCACTTGCCCATATGGTTTGCAACTTTAACCTAAACAGCAGTTCCCAAATTGGAATATCGCCTCAGAAATCAGATGCAAATTACCCAGAAAGAAACTGATTTCAGGCATGTATGGTGGAGAACGAAAACGAAGCGAATCCTACCGAAGAATGTGTGACGTTCCTCTATCGTCTGACTGATGGAGTTTGTCCCAAATCATACGGATTCTTTGCGGCTCGTCTAGCTGGTGTACGACCGGAGGTTTGGTAGTTTTGTGGCTTTGCGATTGGTCGTGTTCGTTTTTTTTTTGGAACGAATGGCGTATCTTATCTTCTCTCGCTACTTTTAAGTAGGCACTTGGTTTTATAGGTAGTAAAGGAAGCGTACGAAGCTAGTCGTGTATTGTTCGACTCGGTAAATCGTAAGAAAATGGCGATCGCTGCGATCAAAGAAGTTGCTCGCGGTGGAGGATCCATTGAACAATTACGTGAAATGATCAGTGCCCTATAAAGATGGGCAACCTGTCGTCGAATAGAGACAGTCAACCACTGGTAACTGGATTTTCCACGCATAATTCCTATATTTATTTGCTAACGTGTCCTCAGAGATTCAATTTTTAGCTGTAATTATTTCCCCATTCACTCGATAACTCTCATTTCTATGCTTAACTTTACGGTGTACAGCTTTGTCATACGTTACTTCAATACTATCATTCAACGGTCATAATAGTTCGAAGAGGAGATTGTAATCGACAAACTGTCCTTCCGCGTCTCTACTCTTAATTACTAAGCTTTAAAATGTTATTTTGTAGAATGTGGATTGTGAATTGTACAATCACCCGGCTGTGTCATGATTTTGTGAAATTTTCCAGTGAAATAGCTGATTTCTAACAATTCAATGTAAATTTATTATATAAATTTTAAGTGAACAATCGAAGCTCAATATTGGAAAAATCAAACGTGCAGAACAGCAGTAAGTAGGTAATGAAACTGCTATTTCATGCGAGGTACTGTAACCGCTTTGATCATAAAAAATCATTTTAAGGCAAATAGTTGTTGAGAGAGATAAATGGCTATCTTATCAGCTCTGTACATCGGGTACAGTAACAAGCGGCAAATTGCTTAGCGTTGTCTCTAGATAACAGAAGATTAATTGGTCTACAAATTTGAATTTATGAGACCTAGAGAGTTGTGTTGCCCCGTCTCATGGTCGTTAATTGTTACGCCAAATTGGAGATTCAGGCGGCGTTCTATGGTGGCTGGGACTGTAACCTTTGCGATCAAGGTTCAACGAATTGCTAGTGCAACCTTGAGCCTACTTGCAAGACGGTTGGTTTCAAGGGATGGCTCATGCGGCACGCTTTCGAGATGCCTTCTAGACCGTTCCAAAAGCTTCGCCTTGATCTATGGGCTTTGATAGACTTATAGGACCTTGGGGCCCAAATATGGGGAGAATTTTCTATAACGTCCCTTGAATACAGCAATATTGCTTGCCGACCTTGACTTATGGCGCCTTGCGTCGGGCGGCGGCTAGCAATACTCTCCTCACTCATAATGTCCTCCAAAAAGTCATTGCACTTCAATCATCTGCACGTCAAATCATTTGCGGATGGCTAGTAACCCTGCAGAATGTCGTTCATACACATTTTGGGGGTATAAACCCATAAGAGTTTCCCTGTGGATTGGTGATTTCACCCCGCATTAGGCCTAGGTGATCACTGCAAATTTCCTTGCCGACCAAACCGGTCCACACTTTCTATTTTAGCCAAGGTAGCGGTAGCGGTATTGGAACGGGCAAAAAAGGACACACGCTTACCCATACTGACAATGATGCTGCACGATCATGCGTCTAAAACCATCTGCTGGCTTTTTGTTATATGTGGAATAGAAATGTTGTAGTAGATCATTCGCATTCGTGCGCCATAACAGGAGAAGGTCCAAGAAATAAACACCATCAAGAGCATGGACGCATCATTTCTAAGCGCTAAATCGGGATCGTATGGAAACCTTTGTTGAAGGGTAGCAAAAGTTACACGCGTCAGCCGCTTTAAATTCCAAAATTGAAAAGCTTCCAAGAAATTCAGATATTTTGAGCCCGAGAAAAATCCGAATTTCATTCGCCCTGGCAGATGTTTTGAAACCCGCAAATGTTATTACACTTGAAGAATGCAGCTACTTTAGCACTGCCCGACTCACCTGGCAAAACAAATTACTCATGGCAGGGCTAGTGTATTGTTTTCAAGTGCCACTAGCGTCAAGGCTTCACCACAACACATTCCCTCGGCCGTCAAGCAATGAGAACCCTCTGGCGATGCAATGCGATAGTATATAAACAATTGATGAGAAACAAAAACTTGGATCCATGCTGTCAATTCAGTCGTCGTCGTCGTCGTCGTCCAAATCAAAATTTGTGAATATGGCCGAAATCATGTCCCTGACGAACTTTATCTCTGAAATCGCCTATTTCATCCAAGACGTGTGAGCATAACCCAGTCAAAATAAAATGTTCTGTGAGTATTGATGAAGTGCCACCAACCTGAGCGCATGGTAGATAATTGTTCCCTCGTTAGTTGACAAACAGTCTCTTTTCCATTAAGTGTATACCGTAATATGGGGTTTGGCCCATTTTCTTCCGTCAGAGTAACCGATTCCAGAGGAGCGTCTGAGAAAATTGATGATGTTTATTTGATACGTAGAGTAGTGGATCTTTGAAGCTGACCTTTTGGTATACTGTTTTTCACATATTCCTTCAAAACATCGAGGTTAGATGTGTAAACACGCGCTAACATCTTGCTATGCTCTGAAGTACGACTCGAAATATCGCTTCGATGTGGTAACAAGTGGTGAGGTCTCTACTGAGATAATGTACCTGGTGGGAGTCCCAGATGGGTACATTCTTTTTCAAAATCGTCAGCTTCACAATTGTATGAGGCTGCACTCCTCATCATATAGGAAACAGAATACAAGAATCTTCGAATACTGGAAACATCTGGAAAACTGTTTGTTTTCAAATAACTCCTGGAACTCGTAAAACTTTAGGAAAAATAGTCAGGTGCTTCGGTCCGCCTCCAGATTGTAATACATAAAATCCTGCCGAAAACAGGTGTAAAATCATCAAGTGAAAAGGTCACGATAGAAAATAGCTTACTCAGAGAGAATGTTCGGTAATTAGCGAACAAGTTCATAATTTCTCGTCGGCTCTGCTTTCGTTAGCCCTTCTTTAAACTGTTTTTATTCTTCAACTATTCTACAATATTATTTACAAATTGAATACTACGGCAAGTCTGTCTTTGCACTTCCTTGCACTACCCGTCAGGAATACTTTTTAGCTCGTGATACAAGGGTAAGCAGGTGGCAAATTCAAATCCAATTGATCAACATCATTTACCCTGTATCTTTTGAAGTTACTGTACAATTTCTGCGTTCTTAGAGAAGAAATGTTCAAATTTAATCCATACCATTATGTTCAGAAACAAATCGTGCTACATCCTCTTCAGCCACATCTTTTTTGAGAAGAAAGTCCACCGATAACTGACATAATCCTTTGAATCTGACCGATGACTGAAATTGAACTGTACAAATTTCTAGAATAAGTTCAGCTAAGAATGCATAGGCAAGCATTTGTTAACAAAAAAAAAGAACAAGTAAAATATCTGAAATTACCAAGCTAGAAAACTCGCAGATTTGGGCGAGGAGCCAGTCTGGGCAATCCTGCCAGCCCAGGAAGCGAAATTGCTGGAAATAAACAAATTTAACAAAATCAATCAAACCATAAGTTGCGACAAAATCAATATGCCTTCGCAAACGTGCTTGCTCACCATTCAATTGATTTCGATTCGAAGAATGAAGTAAAAACGGACAAACTCAAAACAGGTTTTACTCGAATAAATGTCGAGGAAATTTCTGGCGTCAATTAGATTTTGGCGTAAGAAGTTTGTGTGCAATTACGGGCAAATAATTTCGCGGACGTGGTTTAAATGAGCGTTAGCGCAAACCCGTTGGCTGTCGCCGGTTGTTTGTGAGTTTTGACGTCATCAGTTCGTTCCGAGTTTTTTCTTTCAATTTAAAGTCAACTTCGCTGATTTTCACGCCAAGCCTTCTTTATTAGGCTTTCCGAATCTTTTCATTACTCACAATGTAGCGTCAATGACAGTTCGCACGGTTTTAAAATCTTCCTTTTTCTTGAAATGATTCATTTTGATTTATTCCTTTTGAATCACTTTTTCTGTGCTTTTCCAGCCAGTAATGGCATTGTTAGATAACTTTGCGGAATTAACGCAGTGATAAGCAAGACAAGTGTCATTATATAAATATCGCTTCATGGTGTTCTTTGCCTTTGGAACAAGACGGATTTCATAGTCCCGTGAATGTGTTACACAGTAACCCGAAGACACATTCAAGCGCCTCCGAACACACGTCACATATAAGCAAAAAGGTTCCTGAATGAAGACCGCGGGGGTGAGTGGTGGAGCATTAGGGGGTTTCTGTATCACACTTTCACGAGACATTGAAATCCCTTCAACGCCATTGAAGGGCCGTATACTCATGTGAGCTTCAAGAATTTTCTTCTCTTAAGCCATTCATGTCAAAATTGAGTGTTTTATACGAATCAGTGAGGTTTGGTCCATCACTCTGTCTGGGAGACATACTCATTTTGTTTCAATTCTACTGGAACCTCGCAGAACCTTTTGTTAATTCTTATTATCTGGTATTTGGCCTAGCGGGGGCGCTGTTTTAAGGAGACGTGTGTGATCATGGTGAAATGTAATGCATCACCACTTCGATATTCAAAGACCTTACTTAGAAAATTGGGATAGCAATTGAAGGAGGGGGTGGGGGGGGGGGGGGGGGGGGGGGGTCATAGCTGTAATCCCGTACTCCACTCTGGGCCGTTTTTCATTTTGACAAATGCACGTTTTTTTCAAGGTCATTTTTTCCTGAAAAGATCTGAAATTACATTCGGGTAAGAAGTTATTCCCACTGTCTATTATCTCAGATCGTCAAGATTGGCCCTGTTCAATCTCAATCGGTTTTTTTCTCTGAAAACTTCATATTTCACATTAGAGCACCTCGTCCTTCAAACTTGACTGAGAATATATTTCTGAAGGAATTCTGCTTACTTGGAAAGATTTTTCTTTTCGTGCAGAAAGATGATCGCTCCGCTCTATGGTCATACATCTTTGAAGCTCTCTTGGGCCTCATTTTGGAACCAAATAGCAGCAGTATGCTGTTCTAGCTAGTTTAGAAATGCTCATTGCATTCGAATGAGATGCCCATGAAAGGAAATGCATGAGGGTGCATTCGGGGAAAGGCAGAAATTCAAAACTACTCGTTGGTATTACTTGCTAGCTAATAAAATTTGTATAGTGTTTTTTGAACGATCCCGACGAATGAGGCCCAACCTGTTCCTCTCTTAGAGATTGTGCGGAAGCTTCTCTTCCTCCTTTCACCCACTTTGAAGCTGTAGAATGGGTTCCTATGTGATTGCTGGCCCCCTCCCAGCAGAGGTCGGTAGCGAATAATGTATTTCTTGCCTAATTTTACTAATCCAGTCGCCTTCAAGTTGGGCGTCAGCGTGGTGTCGCAGGACTTTTTTTACCAACGGTTGTCAATGCTCAGCTGTCAGTGTCTTCACGGTGCTGAAACTGGCTCAGCAACTACGGTAAAAGTGGGTATGTTAGGAGATTTAAGAGGATTTAGCATGGGAAAAGTTGCCCGGAGTCTGGCTGTTCTTGTTTTCTTGAGCATCTACATGGCGCATGTGATGCTCTTCACGTCTTCACGGTCTTCCAGTCTTCACGACTTTTTCTTCCGGCGCATATTTTTAGTTGGGAAGAATTTCTAGAGACCAGACATTGGCGATAACTATTATGGCTTTTCTAGATGAGTCATGCTTTGTGAGATATGTTTCAGGCAATTTTTTTCGGAGCTCGTTTATGGTTATGTTCAGCAATGTTCAGGAAATGGGTCGTTTGGTGATGCGGGAGACATTCTGCAAGGAGTTGATGTGAATATTCTGTGCATTCAAAGATTTTGTAGATTTGCAGATGGTTTGAGCGAACTTTGAGACCTTTCAACCAGGTTCCTTTTCAAAGTTGACCGCATTCCACTTATAGTCCCTCTTGTACGTTTCAGACAACATTAATAACTTTTACGAACTCTCCAGCTGTAACTGTCTTTGTACTCCTTTTTTGCCCAGCATTCTTCTCCTCCCCTTCTCTTTGTAATTGGAAACTCGGCTAGAGAGTAGCACCCTCTCATTCGTAAAGGTTACGTTATTAGTAATCACTAGAGGAGGAGGATCGATATTCAAATGATGTTGTCCACAGAGCTTTTCTTCATAAAAACGTGGCATTTCGCAAGCGAGAGATGGCTGCGGCGGAATACCATTTGGTGTAACCAACGCTTTTTCAATCTGCCTTATGACTTCATATGTGACGATGTCTGAAAACCAAGATTCTCCCGGTGTTCTGTTTATAAACGGAGCTAGAGAATGTCTCTTCACAATCCTGTTCGTAGAATTTCTTGCAGTTTTCAATTATTACGAAATTTCCGGTGGTTTAGGTATACCGAAACGTGTTTGCAATTTGTCTGCCAGATGTTTTTCAGACGGAGAATTAGTCAATCTTGCCCCTACTTCTAGCCCATGACTGTTATTTTCAGTAATGTGAGCTACCCGAGAACTATTTCGTTCAAATTTAATTTCTATCGTGTCCTATCGCTTCTGTTCTTTTTCATTGTTGTAGTTTGAATGGGTTACTGTGAAATCCACACCATATCCTGCTGTGTTGGTCTGTGCCATGTGCACACTGCCAAATGTATACACAGTCATCAGAGAACGCTTAAGCTCTCTGGTGTAGGTACTATTGTTTTTCGCTTCAATTGATCGCTTCTCAGCCTCGGTTTCTGGTTACATGGACAAGAATACGACAGCATACTATTGTTGCAAAGACGCAGTTGTCAGTCAACATGCGTCTGAATTCAATGGAGATCTCTCCCAGGCAAGTCCTGAGCTATTTCTGGAGTTTCAGTCTTCTTTGTAGTTAATGATGTGTTTTTGGCTTCAATTTCGATGGAAAGTCTTATCAGAACTCGTGCGTTCTGATCAGCACATCATCGTTTCGGCTTTATTCCGTTGGTACAGATGGTATATGAGCTAACAATGAGTAAGGGGGCAAGGGTTGAGTGGAGGAATTGGATTACTCATTGCGCACAGCAACCCATTCTACCATTCATGACCTAGCAGCTCTCTATGCGCCCACAGTATCTACGGGGTTGATTCAACATTTGCTTAGGACACGTCTAAACGGTGTTTTTTTGCAAAGGAAACTCGAACCATTTGTATTGAATCAGTGAAACGGCACCGTATTCATAGGAATCGAAATCAAAGTCCCATACATCGAATATGTATGAACGCCCCAGAATGGTTTCCGCTGTGTAATCACTTTTCGTAATGATATGTGAACGAGATTTCTTGAGACCTGTTTTGATAGAGTTCCTGCAAGTGCATGTGCGCTCTCGATTAGAAACGGTTTTTTGCGGCTCCCAGAGGAATTGGAACCAATGAAAATAGCCTGGTCTGTTTATTGTCTGCTACCTCAGCCCATTACGTTTCTTCGGATCTAGCCGGCACCAAAGTTCGCCTTTGTAATTGGACACTTAATTCTGAAATTGTTTGTTGGTGTATAATCGATATTCAAGTGGACATGAAGGGTCTGTAATCCAAAGAAGTAGTTTTTCACTTTGCGCAGATGGCTTCCGAGTGCTATTTCCGTATGCTTCTCTATCTGTCAGAATCTATACGACCTATAAATTTGTGCGCAGTGCGCGAGCGTAGAAACATGTGTAAAAACATCTGGGTTAACGACGTACAATTTACGACGGCAAGCATCATTGCTGAACTTCAGTACATCCTTTCCTCAATAAATTTTGTATCACCTCATTTTGGTAGTATTGAATTGGGTATGTCTTTTCAAAGACCATTTCTATGTTGCGTCTTTGGAGAAACCAGTTATCTAACTGCCTATATCAAAGTGTTAATTTGACGGGACGACTTATGACTTGTGGTTGCCCCTATGTGTAACCCGCGCGCTTGGGCGATCAGTATTAAAAAAGGGACCGTGCCGCTTGTCTTTGTTTGAATTCGACAGCGCTACCAGCGAAAAACAACGAGTGGTGCCATTGGAAACGGCGCAATGCGACATTGCACGCGATGCACTTTACGAGTTTGTCGCGAATTCGGGGATGCGCTTCCAATGACAATTTTAGCGCGGCGACAGCCAGCCGGTAGGATGCATTAAAATTCCATTCCTGCAGTTCGTCGTCCCATGTAAGCGGCGTTTGGTATGTTCATCATTGTCTCTTACAAATCAAACGGCGTATGTCAATAGATGCGTAGTGTGCACTCGTGCGATACCCAGGCTCGAGAGTGTATCATTTCAGAGCGCCGTGGTGTTGTGGTGACGATGTTTAAGCAAATAAAGAGCGACAGTAGTGCAGTCGTCGGTGGGTGGTGAATGTGTATGTGGCATTTGGCGTGCGGCTGAAAAGGGGCATAGTTGTTGTGGTGAGTGAATTCGATCGCGAGGGACCCAAGCCAGTTCGCATGTGCCTTGTGCCTCGCCTCCTCCCTCGTCGCGCACGTAGCCAGCGTGAAGGAGAGTATCGATCTGGCCGTTTGTGAGTACGAGCTGGTGAGGCTTGGCTACTCTCCAGCTCAGCCCTCCATCACCATCAAGCTTCTTTATTGCCATCGCCTCGCTTCACCAGACAGCTGTTTACAACATCCGGTGTTGTTTGTGTCGGTGTTACGACGATGTGCAATAAGTTTCCATTGGATGTGCTCATTCAGCTTTCAGATTCCTTCATTTGCGTGCTATGACGACTCAGAGTGTCGCAAAATAGCGACGTTGTTTCCTTCAGCAGAACGTGTTATTTGATGCACGCACCCCTGTGTTTTTGACGTGATTTTCGCATTGCCTTCAGTACGACTCAGTTGTTGTTGATTGCTCGTGACTACTGCCTGTTATCTTCCTTCACGCACTCGTTGTTCTGACTTTAACCAACGTAGCTGCTCTGTTGATCTCTACGCCACCGCGAATCGCATCGTTTCACTACGCTCTTGATTAGATTATGCTCGCCAAATGAAAGTGCCTCAGCCTCAGAGATGTAGTGTCATTAACTTCAGCAGAATGCCATTCACGGAACCCATTGATTCTCATCTGTAATGTAAGATAATTCCCTGGCGTGCGTTCGTGGAGAAATCAAAATATCAATTTATTATGGTGTACTTCATTAGCCAAGGACGCAACTTTTGCCCTAAATGGTCGTCAACATTTGCTGTAACCTCGGTAATGGATAGTGTTGTTAATGAATCATGACGTGAATGGATTCTTTTGCATAGATGAGAAATGGTTGCCTATCCTGAAATCAGGGTCAAAAATAACGCCGAAGAATGGCCTTGTCAACAGCCCCATCCACATAGATTCTCTTACCTTCTCGACCCGATTCAGCTTTGAAAGAGAAAAAAAAGCGAAGTAGTCGGAGCAGGATGGGGGGGGGGGGGGGGGGGGGGGGGGGGGGGGGGGGGGGATAGAGACGCCTCTTACAGCTAAGGCCCAAAATCCAATAGTTTATCAAGTCCTTATCAACTACGACCGAAATCCCTTACCAGGCTTCGCTTTTTCCATCCTTTTAGCCTGTCGGACCCTGCTGTTGCAGATCGCTAAGTCCTTACCGAATATTCGCGGAAAGGAGTTCGTACGATTATTCCCGTTCAGGGGAGTCGATAACCATGAAAACTGTTATTAATTCGAATTTTGCGGATGACCGGAAACTCCTTGTTTCCGGTTGTGAAGTATTTATTTACTTTACCTAGCTCACCTGAATACCTAGAGTTTTTGCTTTGGTGAGAATGTAGGGTGGGGGATCAACATTACCCATGGGATGTCTTGTCACTGCAAAGTTCATCCGTCGCATGCATAACTTCCGAGACGTGATCGAGTGTGCAAATGGCGCCAGATGTGCGTGGTTTTTCGTGTGGGAAGTGTAAACTGGCCGGCATCTTTCCGCATCCTCGACCATCTACTTCGTGTTTACAGGAAGTCTGTGAGGACTTTGACCAGTTTTTTTTTTGGACAAGCTGGTGGAGGCGAGCAGTTTTTTCGAATTCGATAACACCGCTATCTTGTCCGTCTCCTTGCAGAGCGGGATGATAAGTTCTGCCATCCGTCCTTGCAAACTCAGCAACACGTGCTTAGACAGAAAACATGGTTTTTTTTGGAGTACAGCCGCTGTGTGCGCAACAGGCAGTGTTCCAAAAGATTGATGTGCCAATGTTTTCGATTCTTTGCATTGCTTAGATGTATTTCATTTGCTGAACAGTTTAAGAAGAATCGTTCCTACAACCCATCTGTCTTACTCGAAACATTCATCGGTTTTATACGAATTTATAGGAGTTGAGGAATTTTATTAGTCGTTTGCCAAGAAACAGCGTAATAGCATCGTGGATACCAGTTTTCAATTCACAGCAACGAATTAGCATTTGCCTCTTGGTGAGGGAAGGGACCCAAATTCGGAAAAGATGGATTACCGCTTTTTTTGTTTACCTCCGCACACTTTTTCGCCTTTTGCGAAAACGCGGCATTTGGAGAAGCTTATAGCAAAAAGGTCGTGCTGAGAAGTTCACACTCCATCACTCACACTCATCTGGTTTCCACGAAAGAGTTCTTGGAGTTCCAAGGTTATTAGGAACCAGTCATTTGGCTGTTCTTTAATTTTTGTTATGCTTTCAGTAATTATATGATCGCTGAAAGATTTATATAAGAGGAAACTGGCGGTGGTTATATAGGGAAATAAAAAAGTAGAAAATAGGCCTGTGCTGTTGACAAACGCTCGGTAGGAACAGGCGGCCTTTCGCGATGGCGCCCCTATGAATGTCCCATAAAACTATACGGTATTTCCGATAATTTCCTTTGACTGGCGTTGATGAATGATGGGAGGATTGTTGTGTTCGTGTGAATCTCTTCTTTGTAAGCTTCCACTGAGTAGTTATAGAAAATAGTACTACGAGAGATTGGAGGCACTAGACAGCCAGTAAAAAGGGAAGTCAAGTCCGTAAACGTGTGTGCAAAACAAGCGGCTGTTACCTCGCGTGTTTAACGGGGCCACAACAAGATCGGTTGGTTATTCAAGTCCTGTGGAACGTGCATATTCGTCACGAGTGTTTTCAGTGTTGTCTCGCACCCCCTTCTATCGCTGCACTTTCACGACGGCAGTCAAATAAATCTAGGAAAGTAGCGCGTTGTGATCAGTGATTGGTGCAGCGGTGCTACTGAATGGTGACTAGGCGATTCTGTTTGCTTAGTTTTTGATTGCCCGAGTCCATTTATATGGAACTCAGGTTAGTCGGCCAGTACTTTTACTAATGCCGGCCGGCATCGTTGCTGCTCTACGCTATTCCGATGCGATTTTTCATCCGATAGTGGGCGCTCGTAGTGCCAGTCAATAAAGCTTTTACGACTTTTCAACGTGCGCTCCTAATCCCTGGAACAGGAGCGCTCGATGATCTTTAGTTTGTTACTGTGACGTGGCCTCCTTCCACGACCTGTCCATTCATTGGATTTCCTCTTATTTGTCTGTTCCGTTGATTTCCTTGATGTTTTTTTGGAGGCTGTCTCGTATTCTTTGCTTTCTTTAATTGCCATTTGTTTACTAAGGGTTTATTTAACCGTTTTTCGTTGAATGATAGTCATCTCTCGAAAAATTGCTTCTCGCTCCAAATATTATCATCCATTGTGATTGATGCATGGGCAAACGCTTATTCTGCTTTCAATGGCATCGATTATTCACTGGGCAAGCTGATCCGTCCTCACAGCCACGTTTTCACCATTTTCGGTGTGAATTTCCATATGCCGCGGAATTCATCGCTCGCTAGTATAGTTCTTTCCACTCCTTTAACGCTTTGTCTGAAGTCAAAAAGACCAAACTTTCTCTTTGTGCAGTCCTGTATAGTGCTGTTCTGTTTATGGAGCTCTCTGCCTAATGTATTTTGCCATCTCCGACTGCTCAGAAGGTCTTTCTTTATGTACAGTGACTGGTTTTGGTTTTAGTCATATTAGAATCATCATGGTACTGTGTTTAAAAACGAAGTTGTTTAATGCATAGGGCAAAGCGTAAGTTCTTTTTTAAGAAGAGCATGTTTAATTCTGTTCCCATAATACTTCGCATTTCTCCGTTTCTCCGTTCGTTTGTATTTCGCTGAATTTGGTTTTCTCACGCTTCAAGTGCTATTTTGAAATCGCACTCTGAGAATTCATTGTATTGTTGTATTGTTTTGCAGAGCGAATGGGTAAGGACGGAGACCCCGGGGGCCAAGCGATGAGTCCGAAGGATCCAAAAATGCAGGCAGCTAAAGTTCGATTGCTTGATGGAACATACAAGGACTTCAGTTTACATGTAAGTGGTCCTCTTCAAACATTTCTTCACAAGCCACTTGTGCTGAAATTCCAGCATTTTCTGGTCGTATCAGTTAATCAGCATCTCTTTCCACGAAATTGAAACTTCTCAAGCTGTTTCCTTGTACTTTCTTTGATCAGCCTCGATACCGTTCTAATTTTGGAATTGCCTCCTGTCTCAATAATGTTGCTGTGATATGGGAATAAGATAAGCAAGTGGTGTTTCTTGAGAATATAATGGTCGAAAAAACTGTCATTTCACGATAAGTGCAACGAATTGTGAGATATTTTTATTTGGCGCTATCAAAATGTCGATTATTCTCACGCCCTGACACACCGAGGGAAGAATTGTTGACATGTCGTGGCCATGGTTAATTTGAAATTGGCGTCGAAGTGACCTCAATAGAAACCCTTGAGAGTAGTTTCCACATTTCGTTCTTAAAAAAACAGGGTTCTGGCTAGGAATCCCATAACTGCTGGGTTTTTTGAGTGTTGAAGGGTTAAAAAAGCGGGTCACATGAAATAGTGTTGGATTGTACAGTCAGATGTCAAAAAACGAGAGATGTTTTTTCGTGCAGTTTAATTTCATGAATAATGTGTAGGCATTCCATGGCGCTTATCTTTGGTTACTAGTGATTGACAGGGTTTTAGTGCCCTTGCTTATTAATCAAAACTGAATGGACGTCGCCCTGGGTTTGAAACGAGGGCAAGCTTTTTTCTGGGATAGTTCGTTGAAAGACCATATCGTCAGGTCTGTTTTGCACGGTCTTCACCTATATGTCTCGCCACTTCAAAATAGTTTTAAAGCCATTCTACTTCAATTGCCACTTTAGTGGAAACTCTCTTCTCGCTCTCCATTTGCCTCGAATGCACTGCTGTCTTGGATCTTTCCCTCAGCAGAATGAAAAATCATCTGAACATGTTGTTGTAAGCGCAAGCATTGAATAAGCTGCACTACATGAAGCGTAAACACAGGGCGATTTGGATGAATTAGCGAACAGGCGCCGTAAAGAAGTGAGAAAAAACACGAAAAATAAGCAGACACCCCCACGAATAATAGCTATGGCAGAGAGTTTGGAGCAGAAATTCCAGTAATGCTGTTTTTTTGCTGTGATTGCAGTTAGAACTAAGAGTCCCGAATTAGCATGTTACTTCATTCGGCAGGACAAGGGAAAGTGATCTGTTTGTTACGAATTCCAAAGCGGCAATTGATCAATGCATTATAGTTTGGATCATGGAAGTGGCGTATAGGCAAATGACTACCGACAGATGGATGAAAACAACGCTGTAAATAACTTTTGTGTCTCCCTACCGCGCTCCATCGAAGCAAAGGGAATGTGGGGAATTCGTAAGAGTAGAACGGAATGGAATGAAAATGTAGCTTTGGAATTGCAATTTAGCATACCGTAATAGTTCTTATGACGTTTTGCTGGCAAATATTCTGCAGAAACCCCTTTTGGCTGCAATAGAAACTCCCCAGATAGCGTAACTTATTGCTATAGCTACTGGTTAGCAGAAACGGGTTCTGCAATCGTTCTTTGGGACGCGCCACACATTCAAAACTCACTTTAAATTTCAAAAACTTCTGAATTCGTAGAGGCGTATACAGGTCCTTCAGGGTCCGAACCAGTTTTTCTTGAACTGATGGCTTTTGGGGACCTCTGACAGCCATTGCGGTCAGGATAGCGTAGACTTAATTGGAATTCCTTATTTGGATAGGCGAATACGACGCGTAAAGCAATAGCACCAACTAGAGCTTGCGAATCCCATAGAGAATAAACGACTCCAATAAATTGATCCGGTCCACGTTTAGTAGTTTGCTACAGGCCGGGTTCTTTTGTTTTTCCTAGGGAACTTTCAGAAAACCATCTGAAAACAATGTTTTTATAAGCATCGCTCACTTTCGATTGATTCTCGGTTCAGAAGTCTTCCAGATTCCAGAAATAAGGGTTACTTCCTACCAAAGTACAGCTGGTATTCGGTTGATTCATACTGTAGAGTAAGGCGGTTTTCTAGTAGTAATTCAGGCAATTTAGAGAGTTATCCTATGATAATGAAGCCGTCGATGCTTCGATCATTTTAAAAGCGCCTCTGGGAGGTAAGATAGCGATCAACCCAGAACTAATTAGTCATCTGGTAGGAAATATTGCATTCTCCAAGAGGTCTCTGCCGCAATCTGAGATTAATTATCCATCAAGCCAGGGAAGCTGTCACCTGTCCGGATAAGTGTAGCTTGTATCACGCTTGTCAGGAAGAGTCAAACACTGACATGACACCGACGAGCATGAAACGCCGTTGGGCCTCCTCAATCAATGAGTTGTCATGCATAATAAATATCCTTACGTTCCAAAAGAAGTTGAGCGTGGGGCGTATCACATTGACATCGACAACTGTGTCCCGTTTATTTTCTGCAGAAAAAGCCGCTTACAAGAGGGAAATTTCTGTCACACCATTGGGTTTTTGTCAGACTCCTCAAAACCACGACAGTTCCATTGCCAGTTGTCATCCACTTTACTGGCTGTTTCTTAACATCGACTTCTTGTCACATTTGTGGACGTGCAGGCTCGGTAACACTAAGCTTGTCCCATTCGGAACCGTGGCGATTCCACAATACTTAACCATGGATTGGAAAAATTATTGCGTCAACTCGTTCATACGATTGTCAAAAAACTGGATTCAGCGTACTCTATTTTTACTGGCTAAAAAGTTGGATGTTTTCGGATAGGGTAGCTGAAGGGTCTAAATAGCCTTTTGATAAAAACCCTTTGGTGAGTCTCATTTTGGTCATGCTTAAGTATAGGCATCAAAGACTTTTCGAGATGCGAGTGATAAAGTGAGCAATGTTGATGGACAATTTCTTTCGTTGAACATCTCTTTTCTGGCGAGAAAGTGCTGGAATTTCGGAGATTGCTAGAATTTTTATTTAAAACGTATTGAACAATTCTGTTCCAGCGAGGCTCAGACGGAGAAGCGCTCTTTGTACTAGTGAGTGCCGATCTGTCTATCGAAGAGCGCGAGTATTTCTCTCTCTGCTTTTATGACACCGAGGGAACGCGAAATTGGCTTTACAACGACAAGAAAATACTCAGGCAGCTCAAAGGTGACGTTTGATCGATTCGTTGCTATTATATTCTTTTTTAAAATTTATTTTGGAGGTTGAGCTCTTAAAGGTAAATTAGTCATCAGCCATGTGCAATAGTGATTAATAACCTTTTTACAGAGGTGGTTTTGGAAGTAGGGAATGTGAAATGACTAGATGTTCAAGAACCAGAACTAACGGGAAAAGTTAGGAGAGATGATTGGAAATCGAACAGATTCTCAAATTAGTTTAGCTCGATTTACGAAGAGTGTTTTAGTTTTCCATAAAAAGATGTCAGCGAAAGGGCAAACAATTAAACAATGGAAGGGTCTGAATGCGGCTCTGGTCTCCCGAGATGTGATGGTATACTTCGGGTGAAGGCTAAGCAACTCAGGAGGGATATTTCGTGTGCAGCATGTCTCCCGACTAGGAAAACTGAAGTCAAACCCACAAATTTCCTCTGTAAGGCCCATCTGGTTGAAGGGGTTTTCAGTTTGCTTATAAAATTCATAATAGGATACTGAGCTTGTTTACTTTTCTTTAATACAATATTGTTTTCAGGCCTTCCGTGGGAGTTCTGTTATGAGGTCAAATTCTATCCGACCGCACCATCTTCACTTAATGACGATCACGCACGGTATAACCTATTCCTCCAGTTGCGAAATGACGTATGCAGTGGGCGGTAGGTGGTCCTATCTTATCGTTGATCTTTCTTTTTTGTTGCAAAAATTATTTATATCGGTTCCCTTTGATATCTATGAATAAAGGCTATTACAGATTGCCAGCAACGATTGAAACACATGCTACATTAGGCGCTCTGGTTGCACAAGCGCAATACGGTGATGCCAAGCCGACTCCAGAATACGAAGAATATTTGCGAACGACGAAATTCGCTCCACAAAATAGTGAACAGCTTCTTCAAATGATTGCACAGAAGCACAAAGAGCACAAGTTCGTTCTTCTTCCTTATTACAGCACGAAAAGCAGTTCTATTACTAGTTATTATAGAATTTGTTCCCTTTGTTTATGGCTGTAATTACTGGGAGAACTGTTTCTGCAATAGCAACGACTTTATATTTTGATCGATGCTGTTATTTCAGAGGATTGACGCCAGCTGAGGCGGAAAATTTATATTTGGATACGTGTAAGCAGCAAACGATGTATGGAATATTCGTTTTTAATGCGAAGGTATGACTCAGTCTGATTTCAGACAATTGATTTTTGTTTGAAACATTTCATTTTTCATTTTTATTTTGATGCTTTCCTTTTTCAGGACAGTAAAGGTGCCCCAGTTGGTATAGGAATCTGTGCGCATGGTATATACATCTATAAAGACCAAATTCGTGTCAACAGGTTCCCATGGCAGGGCATAATAAAAATCAGCTATCGAAAAAATCAATTTGCCATAAAGCTGAAAGCAGGAGAGGTGTGTTTGTCTATATAGTAGTTTGGAAAGTTGCGCTTATTTGTTTTATGTGATCAATCTTATTGGAATTTCTCCAGATTGACAAGAAAGAGGCAACTGTTGTTTACAAAGTTTCCGATTATGCACACGCTAAGCGTATCTGGAAGACTGCCGTTGAACATCACACATTCTTCAGGTCTGGTTTTTTGAGTTAAAAAGAAAAGTTATGATTTTTCTAACTCGTGGTTTTTCAGGCTTATACAACCAGATGAAAAGCCAAAGTCATCGCTGTTCCGGTGGGGATCAGCTCGATTCCGTTATCAAGGGCGCACACAGTTCCAAACTAAAATGGCTTCACAGATGTTTGACAAACCATCAAATGTGACCGTACAGCGTACGAGTAGCGCCCGCCTTACGCATTCTCTTGATAATGGTGGGTTTGGCTTGACAATTGTTTTATTCAAGTTCAGTTTTTGTTTCGTTCATATTTACTGCTGTGATTTTTTTTTTGTGATAGAGTTGTTACACTATTGGCGTGGCTGTTATTTCAGTCGCAAAAGAGCAAGCTGGCAGTGATCATGTCTCGCCATTACACTATGCGGATAATGAATTAGGATCGCGAGAGGTGCGAGTTTATTTTTGGCTTCTTCTTTTCTTTCGTTCTGAGGAAGAACTAACGGTTGCCGTAATCATGATAGTCCGTATCTTTGCCTGAAAAGGTCTCAAAAATGATGATTACACGGCAGAATTCTAGAAAAAATCTGTTGACCAGGCCACTGTATTGAGATTCGTAAGCACAGTGGTCGCTTTGATTGAAAATAGCTGAAAAAGTAGTTAGAAGACATTACTGTTTGATCCAAGCATGTTGTAATTGAAGCATTGATAAGTGTGATTCCTCATGAAAGGTTCCAAAGTGCCTCTTCATTAGAATGAAGATGATCTGAAGTAAATAAACTAGTCTCCCGAGACATGCTGGTGGGGTAGAGTACGATGTGCTGCAGTTCAGCTGCATCCCATGGTAGGGATAGTCGAAAAGTATCGATACAAGTAGTTAAGGCAACGAAACGGACTCAATGTTGTTTAAGTTACCACTCACCTCGAGATTTTAGTTGGTTTGTAAACGCTTCCTCATCACAAAAATGTTAGAAGCGAGTGGTGAAGCTATTCTAACAGTTTCGATTGTGTCTAGTGTTCAATTTTGTTCATACTTCGCTCGAGGTTGTGAGTGTTCAGTAACTATAAGCATACATTTGGTACGTGTTTTCTTGTACATCACATGCTTTAATTTTCAAAGTGGTTCAAGGTAAAAAGTACATTACATTTACAAAGATTTTCTATTATTAGATTGCCTTTTATAATTTCATCAAACGTATAGCTAAACGAATTCCAGCCTATGGCATCTCCCGCAGTGACTTACGAGATTTCCGGTCAGAGCGAGAAACGAAAGCTCGACGACAAGGTGGGTAACGGTCTGCCATCTGATGATGATGATGAGCTTGTCTACACGCCTGTTGAATCGCCGTCATCTGCTGCTTATTATCTCTCAGAACGTTCATCTGCCTATTCACCCACCACCTCAAATGATTTCGGCCGTTCACATCAGACGAGACTCACTCCTTTATATTCTTGGAAGGGTTCTGAATTTGCTTCTACGTCGGCTGATGTTGCTCGTCATTCCTACAATGAAACAACGGGATCGTATTCCTTGCCATATCGTTCCGGACCTTATTCGAGCACGTTCGTTGATACCACTGAAAAACGTGCTGACATTGAACCACTGCCTATTAATGATACTGTGCAAGTCTACCATGCAGGACATTATCAACGACTTGATCGGCAGCCACGTCGGCCACCACGAAACGCTGATCTCAATAATCAGCGCATAAATGGGGTCACAACTGTGCGGAGGTTAGGGCCAGATGAAGAAATGAATATGCATCCAATTCGCTATTTTGTGAATGTGCAACATTCGGGTTCTAGTCATATTCCGCGTGTTAGCAGAATTAGGCATCCAGGACGGGAAGAAGTTGGCGCTCCAAATCTATCCAATTATAACTTCAGGAGTAGTTCTGATTCTCCGATTGTGCGGCTAGAGCCTGGCAACGAACTTGAAGCCCGCAACATCAGGCAGTATTCCTCTGTATACCATCCTGGAAGCTCTCAAATAGTTGTTTCAAAGCAAGCTGACCCTGAAATGCCACCTCCACGTTTGATCACTCGAGTTTTACCAACTTCTTCGCTAGATGGTCATTTTCGTCCACTTTATGATGGCGATGGTGTTCCAAAAGCCCACATAAGCAGGGTTCAAAGAAATGAAAACATCGATGGCACCGAACAAGAACACTTTTCTACGCCTTCAACGTCACCTGCGGGCAGATTCAAAGATTCATCACGCGAACGGATTCACGACTCCTCTTATTCTGGAAGAGGCGAGGCAATTTTGGTTGGGCGGAGACAACATGATTCGACTGAAGAAGCCATCGAGAAGAAAAGAGCTCGACCCGAAGTTTATGGTGTGGCATCCACTTCTTCCACTACTCATGTTGAACCTATAACACCCCACAACGAATTGCCATCCGTCCCGCTGAGAGAGCACACTCAGGCCTACCATCATGGACAGTCCTGGGATGTCACAAAAGGAGCGAAGGCCCATATCGATCCCGCAACGAACATTTCTCATGGTACGGGGAAAAAAGCTGTTCTACATTTGAAAGGCTCACCTGTGAAGAAAAAATCGTTACCAGCTGATGAGGAGGAAGCCCCCGAAGTTCGTTTGATAGCTCGAGTCCCACATAAAGTATCTGGAGGAAAAACAGTAGAGGATGAACCGAGCAAGGATCAAGAACCACCGGGGATGTTACCATTCTGGAAATACAGAGACAGAAAGCGCCAAGGAGAGATACATTCTCAACATCCTGTTCCTGATGAAGTTGTTGCCGCTCCGCTACAGCACATCGACCGCCAAGCTGAAATCGAGCAGATGCCATTAAGAACTGCATCAACGGTCCCATCTTCGACCACAACTTCGAAACCCACCCAACATCGCGCATACGTCTATGAAAGATACCATCACGATGGTGGTGAAGAATTTACAGGAAAAGACCAACTTCGCTCTGCAGCTCATGGCGTAGCATCTAAAACAGACAAAGATTCTCTCGAATCCATCCCACGGCAGCTAGAGTTAAAAACCACGCCGTTGCGTGAGCAAGCCGAGATGTATCACCATGGCCAATCCTGGGTTTTGCCCCAGGGTGCGAAGACTGCTCCTGCTGCCACCACAGAAGACCACCATATAACAACTAGGAAGGAAGTACCGCATGCAGGAGGTACCTTTGTGAAAAGCATGCCGTCATCAGTCGCTGAAGAGGAAACATCCAGAATTCACTTGATAACACGTGTACCCCCCGCTACTGCGGAACAGACAACAAGCACCGCTACGCCAAGTAGAGCACACGAATTGACTGGAATGTACTCTATTCCAAAACCAGAAACCCAGGAACGCCAGGCAAGCTCGCTTAAGGACAGTGATCATCCCAACATCGGAAAGAATACATTCGCCACTGATTACACGGATCGCCAAGTCGAGTTTAAACAGATTCCGTTCAAGGCCCCTACTCCTGTAACCTATAAACCAACACCAGAAAGGGGTTCGGAACCAGCCCAACATCGTGCATATGTATTCGGAAGATGGCGACATGAGGGTGACGAAGAGATTGTTGAGAAAGATCGGGTTCGACCTGAAACATATGGAGTTGCTTCCACATCCTACAAGGGCCCTCTCGAATCTACCACACTTCATTCTGAGTTGCCTTCCGCGCCACTGCGAGATCACGCGAAAGTGTACCACCATGGGCAGTCTTGGGATGTGACCAAATCTGTGAAGACTCCTACCGCTGTCAAAACGGAAAATGATCATGGCATGGGTAGAAAAGCAGTTTTGCATTTGAAAGGAACTCCTGAGAAAGACATGCCATCTCCTTCTGTTGAAGAGGAAGCGCCCAAAGTTCGATTGATAGCACGGGTACCGCACAGGACATCAGAGGATGATGAGGCACTTGCGAGCAAACCGACGAAAGATCATGAATCTTCTGGGCTGTTTTCATTCTGGAAGTCAGGCGATCGGAAGCATCGTGGGAGCTCATACGATGGCTCCGAATATCCGATCACTGGGA